CTTTGTCCCCTTCTTCTTCTCTGTAAGATGTGGATCTACCAATGGTGTATTGATTTGTAGCACTACCCCCTTAAGAACTGCTTAGTAATTTTTGGGTTCCCTTTCAATCTGGAACTATTTCTGAAAGTCCAACCTCTGCTGACACCACCGCACTCTTGTGACCCAAATAAGTCACTATAAAATGGACTCACACAAGTTAGTGTAAATCAATATGAAGTTATATTGAGTATGAATGCAGCTTGATTAAAAAAAAACACAAAATAGCACTGGCATTTGCACCAATATAATCACTATGGTCAACTATAAGTAAAAGTAACAGCATCCACAGTAAAGTACCAATAACTGTTAGAAGGCCTGCTTTCAGAAATAATCCACTGCCTCCAATATGAGGTGACTGTTGAATCCCCAGTGAGTGAGAACAACTATCAATAAATAGGTAAGCTCGCTGCGGGTTCTCAGAACCTGATGGCAAGGATTAGATTTGAAAATGGAGAGCTCTAGTCTAACATCAACCAATGTCCCTTTAAAAACAATATGCAGTCTTCTGATCGCTAGTTGGGGCCCAATTGGTGTGAAGATGGTCTAAGGTGTAGATGATACTTAATAGGTACTCCTCTTAATGGTGGTGAACTGATGTTGGCGTAAGTGTCTGTGAGCAAGAACAACTCGCTCTCAGGGTGACAAGGGTCACAAGCAACAGTATTAGAAATCCCGCATAACTGGGAAGAGTAAATTGCTGTTTCAGTTGGCACTGCTGTATTTTGGCCTGCAGCTGTGTGTCCTGCGATCAGCTTGGATGATGAGACTGTAATGCAAATGTGTTCCAATGGTGGTGGCTGGAAGAGCTAGGCCACAAACTAGGGTAACTAAGTGTAATGTCCGCAACTATGTGCATTTAGATAGGAGATGTGATGAAATTGTTTCAGTTAGTGGGTGTATGGGATTCTCTCACCCTATTAGTGGTGTCCAGCAGGTCTCAGCCGTCTGTCTTTCCCTGCAAAAGGGGGCCCCCACAGAATGTCTGGTCCTGATTTGGCGTCCCAACGAGTTTCCTGCTTGCAGATTGGCTCACTGGGCGGCATGGCAATATTGACGATCAGCAGACTCTTCCCGCTTCTCCTCCCTCTCTGACTCTGGCTCCACTGCCTGGTCCAACACTCCAGTTATCAGTACACTTCCTCCTCTCTCAATCTCTCCCCTCTCACTTCCTAGTCAGTCTCCTGGGCTTTCTGTTATATATGCCATCCTGCCCACACGCAAGCCCCCTCTGGGAAGCGCAGATGCACTGTTCTTCAGTATGCACTTCAGCATACAAGTTCCACATGGCTATTCTTCAACATGTGTCTGTAACTACTGTTCTGCAGAACACTGCCAAATTCTGTTGGCTTCAACATCCTGCACTAGACATTTATTCCTGGGTGTTACAGATTAATGAATATGTCCAATGTCCTAATGTGAGCTACTTTTTAAATGCACAAATTCGAAACAAAAGGTCTGCACCACAGTAAAGGTCCTCAATATAATTTCTTATCAAATGTTGCTAAAATTCAGTCAGAGACAGCAATGCTAACATGTTTTGGATGGAAGTCTCATAGCCTAGCATAGCAAATCCAAATTTGTAAAACCTAAATATTCAGGACAACTATCTAAAACTAACAACTATCTATTTAACTACTATTGGGCGTAATATAAGGACATTTCCCTGACAGGACACAAACCAAACAAAAACAAAGATGTGACCATTGTCTCTTCTATTTAAAATTAATACTGAAGAAAACAAGTAAGCTTTTCATATACTTTACCCAGGGCCAGCACTTCTGCTAGGCAAATAGGCAGTTGCCTAGGGAAGGTACTTTGATCCATGAGCTGAGAGGAGGGATGGCAGAGGAAGAGGAAGAGGAAGAAGGGAAGGATGGAGAAAGATGTTGTCTGGGGGCCAGTTTGTAGCAGCAGAGCTGCCGCTCACTCCCTTCCAATGTTCCTCTCCTTCACTGCTCTCAGATCTGGCAGTCTCTTACAGTCTGCAAGCTGGCTGGCTGCTCAAAATGCACGTGCAGGTGCAGGCAATGGGAGTGTGCAGGCTCTGCAGTGTGAGAGGAAGGAGCCAGCACTAGTCAGTCTGGAACACCTGCTGCATGCTCAGCCCAGCAAAACGCATCTGGCCTCCCCTCAGTCCCTGCCAGAGGATACCAAGTACATGGTGGAGAAGCAGCTGGCTGACGTAGATGATACCTTTGCTTTGAGAGCGGATGCCGGGCTTCCTGATTAACCCAGTCGGTGCTGGCATCCAGGGCTGCCTGAACTTCTTCACCTATGGCATCCCACCAGCCGCTTTCAGCAGGACATGTGCTGGGCAGAGCTTCTCCAGTACTGACCCCACTGCTGTGCAGTACCTCAGACAACCAAAGAACCAGGTAAGAGAGCTCATCTCCAGAATAATGGGTGGGCAGGGGGGGAAATATCAATATTAAGTCCTTATTTTTATTTTCTTTTGGCGTATGAACAGAGAGATATCTTTACCATCACTCATGCATTACTCACTGAGTTCTGCAGCACTGCCATTCTGCTTTATGGCCCATATGGCTGCCCCCATCTGTTCCACTGCCCCCCACCTGTTCCACTGCCTCCCATCTGTCCCGCTGCCCCCCATCTGTCCCGCTGCCCCCTCCTGTCCTATTGCCCCCCACCTTTCCTACTGCCCCCCCTTCCTGTCCCACTGCCCCTCACCTGTCCCGGGGGGGGGGTGCAAGTAGCTGGTCCTGCCTAGGGTGCAGAATAGTCTAGCACCAGCTCTGACTTTACCCAATAACTTTACACCAAAATGAATATTAACATTCCTTATGGATTCTTATAAGGTCCAAAAGTATTCCACACTAAAACAGTACAGGCTCTGCACTAAGATCTACAATGTCAAAATCTTTGAACCAAGGCTATATGATTTCATTAGTCAGCATTTACTAAAAAAACATTTTTTTGGCAAATAAAGCTACTCAAAGCTTTATACAGCATATAAAAAAATAAACATTTTCTCATCTGAGCTTCCATATAAGCACTTCATCAGCATTCTGAACTCTGGATCCCCAAACAGATAATACTAATTTCTTGAAGTTCTCTTGAATCACAGCAGCATTAGCAGAGCAGTATCTGACCTCCAGTGGTAGTAACAGTTTCTTGTCTCCTGTTGACAGCAAACAGCGTGAAAAGATTTATTGCATTGACAAAATGCCTTCTCTACAGGAGTTTCAGTTGAATCTAATCAATCAGTTGGGATAGACTGCTTATTTTTTACCACATCAAAATACAGGGAAATCATAAAAATAACTTTCTCTAATGGGGATCATTTACACTAACAGGCCACACTGAAGTGCATTGAGAATGAGAAAAAAAAAAAAGTCCTGCATACTGCATTTATCCATTTTGCAGCTCCATTCATCCCAGTGCAACATCTGCAAAACACAGAGAAACACATTGCATGCGATCCCTCTCAATATAGTGTGCTCCAAGAAACTGTGGAGCTTTTGTCCATGTGAATTCTTCTTTGTTAGCCTACATATTGCTAGATTAATATATGATCTTTAATCCAAAAAAAATATGTTTTTTGCATTCAGTGTAAATTAATAAATTAAATATAACAGCAGCACACTAACAGACTAAAAAGAAGACAAAACATACATATACACAAAGGGTGTGCTATCACTTTAAAACTAGCTCCGTAAATATAATCAGCTATATGTGCAAAATGCAAAGTGAAAATCACCTCTTAAAAAGTGACATGTGTGTAACTCTTTAAGAGTGAAAACAAGCAAAATACCAACTATCTGTGAGTTCAAAGAGTCCTTATTAACACATGGTAATCCTGGGGTGCTCACCCCCCCAGCATTTCAGGAGCAAGTGTGCTTTTTTTTATTCATAAAAACCATATTCATATTCTATTATTTATTAATAAAAACCACCATAAGTACACTCACATTGCCATGTGTCATGTTCGCCACTAAGGATGTATGCACATATATACAAGTAAAGCCGCCAGCTCCAGCCACAAACACAGGCTGGGGGTCAAAGCAGATTCAGTATGGGGAACTTGTCTCAGAGTATGGCTCTGCCTAATATGTTTTGACATGTGTTGTCATCAGAAGCAGCATGAGTGTGTGTTCTTATTAGGAAGAGCCACGCTGTCCCGACATTGTCAGGCATGCATACAAGCACGTGGGGGCCATACAAACTACTGAGTACCATTTTGAGTTGCTGGAATGAAATTTCAGTGAAATGGACTTTCCTGCTTTATAATTTTTTTACTTTGTTTTTGGGGTGTCTTTGAATTCAGTCCTCTGTAGGTTGATAACTTTCACTTCCATCAACAACAATGGGGCATCCTTACGTTCCTAACACATTACCCAGTCCATATCAGTATAGATATCCAGCATATTTTTCCCGATTGAGATCTGATGTGTTTTCAAAGTATCCCTTTAATTTTGGCAGTGTGTATATATATATATATATATATATATATATATATATACAAAACTACATTTTATTGCACATATTGCACCTAATGGTGGACATTAACCACTTGCCTACTGGGCACTTTTACCTCCTTCGTGCCCAGGCCAATTTTCAGCTTTCAGCACTGTAGAAACTTTGAATGACAATTGCGCATTCATAAACCACTGTACCCATATGAATTTTTTTCATTTTTTTCACACAAATAGAGCTTTCTTATGGTGGTATTTAATCACCACTGGGTGCTTTATTTTTTTGCACTATAAAAAAAAAGAGCAAAACTATTTGAAAAAAAAGGTTTTCTTATTATTATAAAAGTTTGCAAATACAGTAGGTAATTTTTCTCCTTCACTGATGTGCATTGATGAGGCTGCACTGATAGACAGCACTGATGGGCAGTGATGAGGTGGCAGGGATAGGCAGCACTGATGGGCACTGATAGGCTGCATTGATGAGGTGGCACTGATGAAGCGGCACTGTTGGGCATTGATGAGGAGGCACTGATGATGCTGCACTGATATGAAGCAATAATGGGTACTGATAGGCGGCACTGATGGGCACTGATAGGCGGCACTGATGGCCAACACTGACGGGTGGTGCTGAATGACGGCACTGACTGGAAACACTGCTGGGCAGCACTGCGGGATGCAACTGCTGGGCAGCACTAATGGGTGGCACTGCTGGGCACTAATAGGTGGCACTGCTCGACACTGTTGGGCACTGCTGGGTGGCATTGCTTAGCACTGGTGAGTGGCACTGCTGGGCACTGGTGGGAGGCACTGCTAGGCACTGCTGGGTGGCACTGCTGGGCAGCACTGCAGGGCACTGATCAGTGCTGATCTGCTCTGTGACAGCTGCCGCTTATCAGCAGTACTTTCCTGCTGCTGATAACCGACAACTGTATTTACTTGGTGATCTGCTGTGTGTCATTGGACACAGCTGGTCACGTGGTAAAAGGCCACGGTGGTTGTCCTTTTACCTCATCATGTAATCAGCTGTGTCCCTAGGACACACAGCGATCATGGAGATTTCCGGGTGCGCACCGCTGGGGGCATGCAAGAGGGCACAATCTGGGAGGACATCATATGATGCCTTCCCATAACTGAACAACTGCGTTGTAGCTGTAATTCGGCTATAGCACGGTAAGGATGTGATTAAAGACTTTGTTTTTTTGTTTATTTGGATTTAAGAATAATTATTATGGACACATTGTTTATGAACTGAGCTGTACAATATTTTGAAAGTGAATATTTTGTTGATACATTTTATATAGTTTTATTTTAACGCTTTTTTTCTTGTTTTAGGTAGTTTAACACTTGAGATTTTGAGCATGGTCATACACATTTTTGTTACAGTGGCTCTCCCAGACCTGTAGTTTGTAGTTCTGGTATCCATCAGCAGGTGTCTCCCAGCAGGGAGCAGTACCTAGAATTTAGTCATCACCTGATGCTGGCTGCTGGGAGGGTATTTAGTCCCTTCTCTGTTACATCATCTTGACTTGATGTTCTGTGTTCTGTCTGTGTTTCCTTGATACATGTGCCTTGTGATCTTTTACTCTGGCCCTTTTACTGATCCTGATCCTTCCCTGCCTGCTTGAGCCTGCTCCTGTGTACCCTCTCCCTGACCTGACTTTTTCCTGCTGCTTTGGCATGATCTTATATGCATAACCCTAGCTCTGATACTGACGACACCTTTAGTCTTATCCTGCCATCTGTATATAATTGGTTAGTTAGCTTAGTTAGATGGTTTTGGTATTTTTGGTGTGTTAATGTGTGTTTGTATTGTTGTTTCAATGGCATTTCTTTTAAGTAAATCACATTATTTTATACTATATTTGGTATAACTGCATATTTGGAAACAGGTAGCCCTACACTTCCTGTCATCATCACCCAGCCAAGAGAGGTGCTGATAGGAGCCAAAGCTATCTTGCTACACCCCATGTCGCTGCTGCCTATATTCCAGCCTGAAACCTGACAGCTGTATTTCCACCAACAGCGTCTCAGCTGAACTCTGCTTCAGTGAGGCGATTGCCTGCTCTGCAGCCTCACGGTGATCCTATGGAGGTCTATATGGGTTTATGATCAGCCTTGATCAACTTTTAATTAGCAAGTGCATGTTTATTGTCTTTCATTCTTTTTAATAAATCTCTACACCTAGATTGAGGTGTGTTTTGTTTTTAGCAAGCACTACAATGGCTGCAATGATGAGATTCTTTATTTTATGTCATGAGATCAAGTACCCAGTTCTAAAATGGTGGCAGTGACTCTTTATTTTAGTCATAAGAACAAGAGCCTAGCACGACAGCCAAAACTGTAAAGGATGTGCACACACACGCACATGCGCACACACGTACACACACACACATGTATACGCATTATGAAAAGTTACAGTACCTTAGCTTCTATCACACAGCTGGGTACTGCACTCTAGGGGGAAGCAGAGAGCACAGAAGACACTCCCCTTCCCTTTTCTCAGCGGTCTGACGGCTCCAAGTGCCGACGTACAGTGCGGCTGGGGATCGGGAGCTCGGGTGAAGTGACAGCCATTTCTCTCCACGGCACCCCTGAAGACCTCTGGTGGCACCCTGGTTGAGAAAGGCTGGTTTATACGTATGTGTGTGTGTGTACATGTGTGTGTACATGTGTTTGCATGTGTGTATATGTATTTTACTTGTAATCTCATCCCCTATTCCTGTCCTATCAGAACTACTTTCTTAGGACTTGTTCATAATAGCAGCAAGGACTGCTACTCCTCTGAAAAGCAATCCACGCTCATATCGTTTTTCAGAGGCATTTGCAGGTGGTAAAGAGGCAATATGTTGCCTCCTCACCACCTGGTTTAACCCCAGAATCAATCACCACACCACAACTGGGTGCAATGCGCACACAGTTGCGGGCTGGTTGTAGTTCAACTCCATTCACCTGGAGGTATACTTCCAGCTGCGGCAACAGCATGTGTATACCTTCAGCTGCTGTTACTGCAGCTAAAGGGGGAGCAGTTGGGGTGGCAAAAGCAGCTCAATTGCGTGGTTTTACCACGCTCCAACCTCACAGGTGAACAGGCCCTTGGTTCACATCTGTGTGACTGTGTGTAGGGCAGCACATTCATTTCAATGGGCTGCCTTACCCGCAGAAATGCAGGGAAAGTCATCCCTGACCTTAGTTTTAAATTTGCACCACACCAAACACACCCTGTGTTTGCCAATGTACAGGGTACCCCTAAAGAGCAGAGCATTTGTCTGCGTGTCAGGAATGAGTGCGATTTCACGTGCATTCCATGACACACAGTAACGTGAACCAAGTCTTGGACAGGGGTGCCTCAAGACTGAAAATACTTTTCAAGGGCTCCCCGACTAGAAAAAGGTTGAGAAACACTGCCTTAGTCTACTGATAATCTCTGAACTATTTGTCCACTGCCCACCTCTGCACCATCTCATCCACTACTGAGAAGTTCTGCTCCACGCTTCCATCCACATCTCCATCCCCTGCACTCATCCTCAATGCCCTTTCATCACTGCAACTCATTCTACAACTGCAACTTCATCCCGGGGCTGGATCTAGCCTGTCCAATGTGGGGGTGCACTAAAAAATGTCAGGGGGGCAGAGGATGGGAGGTTAGCAGGGCAGTGTACAGGGGGTCACCAGGACAGAGGCTAGGGACATCACTTTGTAGAGCAGGGAACAGAGGCCATTAACTTGTAGATCAGTGTACAGGAGTCCACAGGGCAAAGAACAGGGGTCAGCAGGAAGGAAGATAGAGGTCACTGCTGGTAGGGCAGAAGATAGGAGTCACTGCTGGCAAGGCAAAGGTAGGAGTCACTGCTGGCAAAGCAAAAGGCAGAGGTCAAGGGTCACTGCTGGCAGGGCAGAGGACAGTGGTCACTGTAGGGAGAACTCAGCAGAGGTTAGGGGTCACCGCTGGCAGGGCACTCAGCAGAACTCCTTTTAACATCCCTGCACTGCACACAGGCTGGGCACAGGCAGCAAATATTCTCCTTGCCACACATTACACATAGCTGAAATTTGATTGCCTTACACACAACCTTAATCTGCACAGTGTGTAGCTGGCTTTTGCAACTGCGCTACCATTCTGACCATGGAATTTCACAGGTCAGAACTGCAACATAGTAGCCAGCTACACACTGCACAGATTGTGGTTGTATGTAAGGGAATCTGATCTCAGCTATGTGCTGTGTGGGGAGCAGGAGCTCTGCTGCCTTTGCCCAGGCTGTGTGCAGTGCAGGGATAAGAGAAGTAGTTCCGCATAGTTACCAACATTTTAAAAACATTTCGGAGGTCACCTTTTTTCGCTATGCACCCAGAAATACACTGTAGATGAAGAATGTACCTAAATTAGGGATGAAGCATTCATTTAAAATGGGTGTTTTTTTAAAGCAGCATATCATTAACCTAATGCCTTACTTTAATCACACATATATAAGAGAGATATGGTAATGCTAGTTCAGCATAGTGGCAGGCTAGAGCAGTATAGTGGCAGATTGGGGCAGTATAATGGCAGACTGTGGCAGTAAAAAGTGGCAGGTTAGTGCAGTATAGTGGAAGGTTAGGGCAGTATAGTAGCAGGCTGGGGAAGTATTGTGGCAGATTAGAGAAGGCTGGGGCAGTATGGTGGCAGGCTTGGGCAGTATGGTGGAGGGCTGGGGCAGTGTAGTGGAAGGCTTGGGCTGTATAGGGGCAGGCTGGGGCTGTATGGTGGCAGGCTGGGGCAGTGTAGCTGCAGGCTGGGGCAGTGTAGCGGCAGGCTGGGGCAGTAAAGTGACAGGCTGGGGCAGTGCAGTGACAGGCTGGGGCAGTGTAGTGGTAGGCTGGGGCAGTAAAGTGGAAGGCTGGGGCAGTGCAGTGACAGGCTGGGACAGGGTTGTGGCAGGCTGGGGCAGTGTAGTGACAGGCTGGGGCAGTGTAGTGACAGGCTGGGGCAGTGTAGTGGAAGGCTGGGGCAGTGTAGCGGTAGGCTGGGGCAGTGTAGTGACAGGCTGGGGCAGTGTAGTGGCAGGCTGGGGCAGTATGTAATGACAGTGTGCTCAGTCACTTACAAGCCAGTTTGGTTGGGGTTGAAGACTTCCTGGGGCTTGGCTGCTGTATCCACTTCTCTTCCTGAGTTAAGATGTCTGTGGGAGGAGTGGAGGAGGCAGCCACACCCCCAGTCCCGCCCACCACCCTGGCTGCCTCAGAAGACAGTGAAGATAACTGAGGGATAGCGACCTGTATTAGATGACAGGGGAGAGGTACAGGCAGCCTCCCCCACCCTGATGCTCCCCCCTTCCCCACCTGATCTGATGATAACCTGGCCAGTACATCTACTATGTGTACAAAGCTGCAGGGGAGAAAGTGCAGCTGTCTGAAGTATGGTTCAGCAGAAAAGTACAGTGTCCAGGGAGGAGGAGGGTGGCAGTTAGCATTGGGGGGGGGGTGCAACTGAAATTTGGATGGGATTAGCCCACCCCAGCACCCTCCTAGATCCAGCCCTGCTTCATCCCCTCGTTAACCATTGAAACCCTTTCCATGTCTGCACTTTTTTCACCACTGCATCATCTTCCACGTCTGCACCCCCATTCAGTACTGCAACTTCTTCCACATCTGTCCTTTCCACAATTGGAAATGATCTATCTCTCCATACTCTTCACCATTGCATCTCCTTCCATCTGTGCCCTTTTTCCCCACAGAACCCTGTTCACCATTGTACCCACTTCCATGTCTGCCCGAATGCCATTATTGCACACCCTTCTACCTCTGCACCTCCTTCACCATTGTGTGGTAGCACCCAGCTGTTGTAGAGTTGTAGAGTTCCCCTTTAAACTCTAACACTTCTAGCAGCCTGTGTTTGTAAAAGCGAGGTTTTTGGCTCATATTCACCCCTCCCTTATTTCCTGTGAGTATTATGTGTACCGGTTTGTAGCTGGTATTACTTATCTGCAGTTGCTGG